AAGGGAGTTCCTCTGATCTATCCAACTTGTCAATTTGTCCCTGAGCTCTGTCCATGGCCACAGAAGGCTTTGTTTTTAGAGTCTTGAGGACCACCACCTTTGAGCCTGGACCTTTTTTCTTACTCCTTCTCTTCTCTCCCCCTTTTTTCTTCACCTTCAACAGATTTTACTTCCTTTTGTATCTGGAATCTGGTGGGAGAGTTAGTCATTCTCCACTCCTTCCAGTTCCACTCTTGAATGGAGGGGAGGGCTGTGAGCCTGAGTGTGGAGGAGCTAAGGTGGAGGTATCCTTCACAATGGTCCTGTCGCAGCATGACTGTCCCCAAAATATCATCAGGCATTTCTCAGTGCAGCATTTAACCTCTCTCACTAGCACATCTCCTGTAATTATTAGGCTAAAACATTTTTATTTCCTTCCCATCCTGAGTTATGTTTTAGAGGGCCTCCTTTTGCTTTGTTCTTCATCATAGTTGGGAGTGAAGAGAAGAATGCATCCTGCCACACCTATGTGAAGCCCTGTTTTGACCTATCTACATGGAAGTCACTGCTTCCACAGGCAGATTTGACAGATAGGAAGAGGCTAAGGGATTAAGGAATTACTTTCAGACAAAATATATAATATTTGTCAAAATCTTTCATAGGCCCAGGAGCTTGAACAAAGAAGTCTGTAGCCCATTGATGAGATATTAAAGAGCATGCATACACAAATGATTTTAACTGTAATGCAGACATAGAGATGAAACTATATGGATGACAGCAGTACTTCAGATATTTATTCCAAGAAAACAATCCCCCCAGTGTCTGAACCAGTTTGGTACCCTCTACAGCTTGTTTCTCACTCATGGGCTGGGACTAAGACATTCCAACGTCTCTCCCATCTTCTGCCTCATCTGTGCCTACCCTTGTCTTACAGGAACTCTTAACCCCTGCCTGTCTCAGCCACTCTTCAGATTTAGTTCTTACTCTCCACCCATTTCTTTGGACTTGATGTTTCAGACTTGCCCTTGTTCCCAGCTTACCTGAGCCAGGAATTCTGACAACAATTCGTCCTTTTCCTGATCCCTGAAACCTAAGGTCAGTCCTACTCACTATCCACCGCCCCCCATGAACCCAAACTCCAGGAACCAGCCCAAGCCAGAGCTTTGAGTTTCTTCCTTTCTAAGCTTTAACCCCACAAACTCCATTTGTTTAGGAAGCTAGGCTTGGCAGCCAGCATACGTAGAGCCTCATAAAAACAAGTAAGAATCTAGCAAAAAGCAGTATAGACTTTACTGGGATTTGAAAATGACTTTTGAGTCATTAAAACTTATCCTCTTGATTTAATAGAATGCCTTTTACTATTCTTCCATCCACTATCTATCTATCCATTCCTCTGAGCTTTGAAACTTTCAATCCAAGTACCTTGTAGTTGGAAAGGAATTTTTCAGCAAAAACTGATAGTAGATGCTTTTCTCAAGTAAGGCACTAGATGGAGCATGTGAATTTAAAGGAAATTTAAGTTGGTAATTGCCAGTGACAACAAATCATTTAATGAAAGAAAACTAAAAAATTTAAAACAAATTATTTTTATTAATTTCAACTAAAAATAGACAAATATAAAACAATGTAATACTTTTTATGAGTATATGTAAAGTCTAGGATAATTTTTTTAAAAACAGATAAGAGCTGGAATAAGTAATTTTTTTTTTTTTGTCTTCAGTAGACTCTACAAACCCCATAGCCAAAGGAAAATGAAGCAGGTGGCAATTTTAGAACACTAGTTGGGGAAGGCAGAGATGGGGCTAAGAGATATTTTTTTTTCACTGGTTGAGGAAATGAAGTGGTCTTGATAGAGTGGAAATACCTTGCATCAACATCAACTTCTAGATTGCCAGCTTCAATTTTGGAGGCAAATAAGTCTAAGGAATTTGATTGCCAACAAGCATGGGAAGAGGTGATACATGGCTAATCACACAGCAGGTAAAATCTTTTAAAAGTTGTTTATAATATAAGGGGAAGTTTTTTGTGAGAATCAAGCTCAGATTTGCAGACAGCATCTGCATTATTCCTGGAGATTAGATCTGTATTGGTATATAGACAACCTTCTGCAGGGTTCAGAAGATGACAGTTTTGATCCTGGTGGTATATTGCATTGTACATGTTCACCTTGAACATCACAACTTTCTCTAGAGTTTATTTATTTGTGATATTGCAAGTGAGGTTTTGTCAGTATTTCCATTTTTGGTTGGCTGTAAAAATGTCATACAGCATGAAGCCTGACATCCCTGTATGCAGGTCAGGCTGCCTTTACGTTCGGGTCAGGAGTTACTGAAGGAAAAAAATAATCCATGGGAAACTTGCCATTGATTCGTGGTATTTCAAATTCTGATTTCCCCGGTCTTCCTGTTATTGTTTACTTCTCGAAGTCCCGTGCATTCTGTCTAAGGTATTTAGTTGCATTCAGGAGGGAGGCAGATTGGAGAGTGCTTACTCCATCTTGACTGGAACCAGATCTGTGGATGATTTTTTAATTCCTCATTTTCTTTGTTGAAGATGTATAGAATAAACTCTAGTTTAGCCTATTTCATACAATAGCAAGGTTGGAATTTAGAAAGGAGATAAATTAACCATATTTAATACGATGAGGATTTAATCATTTTCTTAAAAATGTATATTTCATTTCCTGATGAGCTTCAAGGGAAAAAAATGCTTAGGTTTTATGTGAAGAGGATTTGGCCAGAAATATGCATCCTCCTGCTGTTTTGTTTAGCAAAGGGCTAGCTAGAAGCAGGCAGCAGCTCCCAGTTTTAGTAAAAATTTGTATTTCAATTCAGTCTGATTTCTGTTTGACATCACTAATATGTTAGGACACAGATGAATAAACCCTTGTGTTTAATAATTTTTAAAATGCCTAGGTTATAAATTTGATTTTATTAAGTAAAATTAAGCTTTATCTATTTTGGATCTCTGTATGGATTGGCAGCAAAACTGGCTCTAGCACTGGAAATGACTAATACCACACTTCAGATACCCCTTCTTCAAATCTATCAATGATGGGAATTGGGAAGTAAAATTTAATAGGCAGGAAGAGAAAAAAAGTCAATGTTTTCTTTGTCCATTTCCATCATATTATAAAGTCAAGATTCAATATGTAGAGCTGTTGAATTTGGTTCTTCCTTTTTGCCTACTTCTGTGAAATGCATGTAGCAAGGGACAGAGTGTACAACAGGATGCTGACGCCTGTCTGCTACATACAGCAAAATGTTCGGTAAAGCTAGCTTCTGGGACCTGGCAAAATAAAACTGTATCCTGTGAAGCTGTGATGATGGTGAGCATGATAAGTGACAGTGAAGGACCATGCAGTGATGCTTCTGAACTGACAGTACCTGGAAGGGATCTTACACGTGATTTTGCTTAGTTATTGGTATTCCGAGTAATATGTAGAGTTGTGCAAATTGTTGGTTCCAAATTTTGACAATACTTGGTGCATGTTTTCAACTCTTTCACATTTTTATATCCACGACTGTATTGCTTTCACAGCCCCCTGTGAGATAGACAGTCATGAGAGGTTCTGTTTATAGATGAAGAAAACTGAGATGCAGGCTGCTAAGGGAATTGCTCAGTGGCCCACAACACATTCCCCAGAACCCTGAAACAAGGACCCAGAGCTTTTAACTTCTAAGCTGCTGCTTTCCCCCTACACCACATTGAGTAGTGATACCTTTATGAAGGAATTATGGGAAGGCCTACTTTGACCTGAACTAATTTTTTACCTTAAAGAACTATATTTTGGTATGCTGAAGGAGATTAGTATTGTTTGCCAACCAAGTTTTTTGTTTTTGTTTTTTATTTTTGCCAGCCACGTTTTTTAAATGCCTGTGGAGTAGCCACGTTTTTTAAATGCCTGTGGAGTAATGCCCCACAAGAGAAAAATCTCACATATTTAGACAAGAGGATACATATAAAGATACTCAGTGCTGCTTTGTTTCTATAGCAAAAATTGGAATCAATCTAAGTGTTGGAGATCAAAGGACTGAGTAAATAAATTGGTATATATTCATATGATATAATATTACCCAGTGATTAAAGTGACCGAAATAAGGGTGTCTGGGTGGCTCAGCCATTAAGCATCTGCCTTTGGCTCAGGTCATGATCCCAGGGTCCTGGGATTGAGTCCTGCATCAGGCTCCTTGCTCAGTGGGGAGCCTGCTTCTCCTCCCACTCCCCCTGCTTGTATTCCCTCTCTTGCTGTCTCTCTCTCCGTCAAATAAATAAATAAAAAATTTAAAAATAAATAAAGTGACCAAAATATGTATATGTATGTGTATGTACATGTATATAGTTTAAAAAATCGTAATGTTGAGTGGAAAAAACCAATTTTGCAGAATGAAACAGCATATCATTTTTATAGTTAACACATAGAATATGTATATTGCTCACATGTATGACCAATATTTAAAAATAGACTGGAAGGATACCCACCAAATAGTAGTCATTCAGGAAAGGGGAGTGGGATGAAACATGGGTAACAAAGGATTTCAGATAAATAAGGTAAAACGTAAACATTTTTGATTCATTGATACTTGCTCTCAGTTTTAAATATTTTTCGAAAAGTTGGGGTTGATGCTGGTGGATAAGCACGAGGAGACCTCAAGGGCAGTACCTGGGTGAGAACTATATACCTGACAATGAGCAGAAAGAACATGAGATATTTATTTCGAGAAAGGCTGTGTTTGGCATTTGAGAAGAGCAGATATAAGTATTAGATGGGCCCATTTGGCAATGTTCCTCACTGTGGTAGAAGGGAACCTTGGGGTCTGGAGCTCACCTTACCCCAGATAGCTCTATAGCAACAGGGAGAGGGCCCTGCAGCTTGGGGACCTGGACTGCACATTCTGTCTCCATCTCTGAAGTCTTTGACCATGTCACGTGGAAAGATTGTGAATGAAACATTTTCGTGGTCTACATTCTGCTACACTTTTTACTGTATTAATGCTAATGTTGTCTGGATAAATTTCTAGGCATGAAAGAATGCATACCAGAAGACCCTATCATGTGGAGGATGCTGAAAAATACTGCCTTGAGGATGATTTGGTCAATTTAGAGGTTCTGGATGAGGTACTAAATATTTAGTAGGCAATTCTCACTGATGACATTTGTTTCATGTGAATGGTCTGACCTTTTTCTTGTAGACCATGTTCTCCTAAGGTCACTTGAAAATTTAATTGTTTGTATAGCCTTGGGGTGAAGCTCAGGGAGCATTTGGTTGCTGTGACTATGATCCTGTGTTGTGTTCATTTATAGTTCCCCAAATGTCCTAAATGATGAAGAGGAAAGGATTTGGATTTTTTCCAATAAAGCCCTTTATATTGTGAGCCTAAATGATTTATTACATCACCAGAAATTATTTTCTGTTTTAGAGAAAGTGCGGTTTCACTCTTAAGATAGTTGTTTGTTCTTCATAAAGAGTAGCTTTATTTAGGGAAATAGTGAAGGATAATATAGCTTGAATTCTAAATTTGAAAGCTGTGATAATCCCCATTTAAAGTATGCATGTTTAATAGAGCTGTTAATTGCACTGGAACTGCTTTTGCTGATTCTAACTCTAGAGACCTTTAACTACAATGGATGAATCACTAAAGTGAAATATGGAAGTGTTCAATTCCATATTCCCACCACATAAATTTTAAGTACAATGCTTTGAGAAATGAAGTTACTGTTTTTTCTATACTTTATCAATAGGAATGGCCTAATAAATAAAATTCTAAGGAGAGCATTTTGATTGGATAAGACAAGTTTTTCATAATAACAAATAAAACCTTTGTTGGCTATCTCAGTGGCCTTTAGCAAGTCCTAAGTGGACCTTATTCTTTCAGCATATTCCTATTTTTTTCTTCTTCCAAGGCAAATATCTGCATTGAGGATCCTTAGGGTCACTGTATGATTTAAATTGACTACTTTCCTCTTTTAGAAAAAAAACATTCTTATGAGACTAAATTTGTTGTTATTTTTAGAATTCTTTCTTGGTTGGAAATAATGTTTACTCTCAGTACTATCTATCCTCTTCTTAGGATACAATTATTTGTCAGTTGCAAAAGCGTTATGTGGACTTGCTGATCTACACATATGTTGGAGACATCTTACTTGCCTTAAACCCCTTCCAGAATCTAAGCATATACTCTCCACAGGTAAGGGGTGCTGTTAGAGCATGTTGCTCCTTAATAGAAATTAAAAACCACAAGAGAAAATGAAAAGAAGGGGAAAAGGAGAATAAACTGCTGCTGCTTTAGCAGTGTATACCCCGACCTGCAGATAACAATACAACAAAGATGGAATTCTTCTCTTTCGGGGGCAACTTTTTAGAGCAAGACATAACAGTAATAGCTAACATTCATTTAGTGCTTGCTGCATGCCAGGCACGGACTTACCTCACTCACCCCTCATAATCTTGTGAAGCAGGCACAGTTACTAAGGTTGTTTGGCAGATGAGGAGACTTAGCATGGCGAAGTTAACTCCCTTGCAAAAGCTCATGAAACTGGTAAGTGAAGGACTGGGATTTGAACTTAGGCCTGCAGACTCCAGAGCCTGGCTCTATAGCCTTCCTGAAGCTACAACTCCCCTAACAAGTGACAGAGCCTTGGTTTCACGGGCAACAGGTACCGGAGCATTAGAAGTTTTCTTTAAATTAATTATTTTTTTTTCTTCAGTTTTCCAGACTTTATCATGGGGTGAAACGTGCCTCAAATCCTCCCCACATATTTGCCTCAGCAGATGCTGCTTACCAATGTATGGTTACTTTCAGCAAAGACCAGGTAAGACCTCTCCTTCCTTCCCTGCCAAGTCACACAGTAGGATGTGTACTGTCTTCCTCTGCAGCTCTTACGTCTTCCTGAAAGCTCCATTCTGGTTGCTGGTGCTGATTCAAGGAAATAGAAAATGAAAGAGTAGCTCAGTGGAACAGGAACAGGGTTAAAGTTAGAGCAGCCAGAGAACGTGAAAATTCTTTTGGGTAACGTGAAGCATTCACATCAAGAGTACTCATTTTCGGGCGCCTGGGTGGCTCAGTTGGTTAAGTGACTGCCTTTGGTTCAGGTCATGATCCTGGAGTCCCTGGATCAAGTCCTACATCGGGCTCCCTGCTCGGCAGGGAGTCTGCTTCTCCCTCTGACCCTCCCCCCTCTCATGTGCTCGCTCGCTCTCATTCTCTCTCTCTCAAATAAATAAAATCTTAAAAAAAAAAAAAAGAGTACTCATTTTCCCTGATAAAATGTATTAAGAGTGTTTCTAATATGAATGTGAGAACACAGAGCCAACACAAACCTGATTACATGACTACAACTGTAATAAAAACAGAATGTAGAATGACATAAATGAAATTCCTTCTTATTAAGGTCTCAGAATTTTCATGGTTCGGTATTTTTTGTATGAAATATTGCACACAGGTTGACAGTGATCAAGCCCCACACCATTTAGCTGCGGAGAAATTGTGGTGGATTTGGTAAAGACTGAACAGATTTTAAACTCAATGCTAGTTAAACACAAAGTTCACCCATACAGCTTCCCTTTTTGGACCTTCAACTCAAGGTGGTGATATATCCAACCTTAAGCCTTCTTTTACTTTCAATATGTATATTTTCCTTTGTGTCTTTAGTCTGTTTGAAATGTAAGTAATAAAACTGGTACGAAAGTTTTGTGAGAGAGTTACTGTGTATAAATTTCCTGAGACTTGTGAAGTCCCAGCAATGGGTTGGTTAAGGAGTAGATGAAACTATAACAGTGCAAGTTACAAAATGGAGTACATGGATTCACTATAGGTTAGAAACCTGGCTTCTCTAAATTCTTACCTTTCCCACAGACTTGTGAAATGTCCATAGATTTCATAGAGAGGAAGTCAATGGAGAGAGATACATTTATTTCTCAAGTTGAGAAGTTGCCCCACTGTGTTTTTTCTGACACTGAAGTTTGTCTTTTCCAACACCAACCAATTCTTTGATTCTCCAGCAGCAATTGGATGACCAACGGTTCAATTCCATTCAATTCTGACACTCACTTCTCAGAGTTAGTACAGACCCCACATGGTCAGGGCTCAGCCCCAAAGACTGCCCCCATCTCACATGCCAGGCACAAAAGGGATGCCCAGGCAACCTGCACTTCTGCCCAGCCTACAACCACCCTCAAGTCTGACAATTCACTGGAACAACTCACAGAACTCAGGAAGACACTCAAATTTACTGGGTTAGTATAAAAGATACAACTCAGGAACAGCCAAATGGAAGAGATTACCCAAGGCAAGATATAGGGGAGAGGAGTGGTGCAAAGCTTCCATGCCTTCTCTGGGTATGTCCCCTCCCAGCATATCAAAATGTTCATACCAGAAGCTCTCTGAATCTTGCTGTTTAAGAGTTTTTATGACTCAGTCAATCTCTAGTCCTTCTCTCCTCCCTAGAAGTTGGGATGATGGAGCTGAAAGTTTCCACTCTTTCATCATGTATTTGGTCTTTCTGGTGACCAGCACCTTTTGGGAAGCTATCTTGGGCCCTACTTTGAACCACCTGGTTAGCAGTTAGGTTGGGTTGAAAGGGACTTTTTTTGTGAATAACAAAAGATGGTCCTGTTGCCCTTATGATTCAGGAAGTTCCAAGGGTCTTAGGGGCTCTGTGCCAGGAACCAGAGACAAAGACCAAGTACATGTTTTTTATTATACCACACCTACTAATCTTCTTGATACATAAAGAGCTCCTAGGAATCAATGATAATAAGACCAGTAATAAAAAAAAAACAAACAGGCAAAGGATATGGGGTGGTCACAAAAAAGAAAATATGAATAATTTTAAACAAATGAAAAGATCTCAACCTCACTCATAATAAAAGAAATGCAAATTAAAACTACACTGAGAGACTATTCTTTTACGTTTCCGATTGGCAAAAATCCAACATACCCTATTAGTGAGGCTGTAGGAGAACAGGCACTTTCATGAATTGGTCCAGTCCTTAGGAAAGCAATTTGGTACTCTCTATCCAACTTACAAATATATTTATCTTTTAGTTCAACAACCCATTTCTAGGAATTTATTCTATAGAAGAACCTGCATGTAAATATAATGCCCTATGTATAGGGTTATTCACTGCAGTATACTCCTTATGTATCCATCAATATGAGACTGGTTAAATCGACTATGGTACATCTGTACAATGGACCAAGGAGCTGTGAAAAGGTTGAAGAAGCTCTCAGTGTACGGAAATGGAAAGATTCCTAAGATAAATCATTCAGTGAAAAAAATGAAGGTGTACAGTGGTGGATATTATAGGAAAACCATCCCTGAACATACAGGTTGTTTACTGTGCTATGAATTCTTCACTCTCACTCCATTTTCTGTGTCAGTGCATCGTCATTGGTGGAGAAAGTGGCTCTGGGAAGACGGAAAGTGCCCACCTGATTGTTCAGCATTTGACTTTCTTGGGAAAGGTATTGACTACCTGTCTTATGTGTCGTGGCTAGAATCCTTGCCAGTGTAACTGCATATTTTATAAATGATGGAAATACTGGTTTTCGTTTAGTGGTTACATAAAAATCTTCCATCTTTATTATGTTTACTTCCTGATAACGAGGCCTCTTAAGTTGTCAGCAGGCCATCCCTCTTTCACGTAGTGAGGAAAATAATGCCAGCATGAATTTACTAGATTATCAGCAATTTTTTATGTTTTCAATGTAATAGAAACATTTAACCATTAAGTAGTAAAAGTGGTTAAACTCTAGGAACAGGATCAGGGAGAGCCACTAAGGCAATTAAATGATTGGAAAATAGAAATCTTTGAGCAAAAGTTGAAGGAAATGGAAATTTTTAGCTTGGGGAAATGGACATTGAAGGAATGACTTAAAAAATGGTCTAGCAGTTACTTAGACTCAGAATTAGTGTATTATGAGACTAAGATAGAATTTAAGGAGTATTTTCTACAGATGAGGTTTAATGAACATTATAATGGATGACTGAGAAAAGTTATGGGATCTCTCTATATAAAACTCTTTACAAACTATTTAGGCATTTTATCTGTCAAGGATTTTAAGTGAAGTGTGGCTGGATGTAAAAATTGATAACCTAATCTAGCATCATGTGACGCCTGAGCACCTGGGGAGTTGCTCGTCTGAGAAAACAGTGCTGGTGGTTGATGCTAATTTCCCCAAGTGAAGTTCTTCCCAAAAGGATAATGTGAATTTTGGGGGGTAAGGAGGGGTGCCTGGCAATTTTGCTAAGGTAATATTTCTGGAAGCTCCTCTTGACTGTTGTCTGTTTGGCACAGGCCAATAATCACACCTTGAGAGAGAAAATTCTGCAAGTCAACTCCCTGGTGGAAGCCTTTGGAAATGCATGCACTGCCATCAATGACAATTCCAGCCGTTTTGGAAAATATCTGGAAATGATGTTTACGCCAACCGGAGCTGTGATGGGGGCAAGAATCTCTGAATATCTACTTGAAAAATCCAGAGTCATAAAACAGGCAGTGTAGGTGCATTGTTTTATTACTCTGTCTTTGCTCTGCAAGATAGACCAGGAGGCTCTGGTAATCTTAATGGCTTCATTTCACCCTTATTCTTAGTATCCGTGCCCTCCACCCCCACCGCCAAGCTGTCCAAAAACAAGGAATTATTTAAGCAAAGGATTAAGTGGTAATTTTTAACCTAAAAGATGTTTGCAGACCAAGTACAAATGGTTGAGGTGGGAGTACTTTTGGATTAGTATGCCCGTTTCTTTTGAGTTGGTTATACCAGATGGAATTTAACAACATTGTGAACATTTAAATCATTAGGTACCAGGGCACTTGGGTGGCACAGTTGGTTGAGCGTCCAGCTCCGGTCGAGCCCTGCTTCGGGCTCCATGCTTGGCATGGGGTCTGCTTGAGATTCTCTCTCCCTACCTCTCCCTCTGCCCCTCCTCCCCTGCTCTCTCTCTCAAATAAATAAATCTATAAAAAAAAGTTAGATACCTTAACATTGAATTTGTCTATTAAAAAAAGCACTGATTATATTCCACATACTAATTTTTTCCCTAGATTGAGAAAGGAAAAAAATGATTTTGTTTTAAGAAGAGCGGTCTAGCAATAGTGATCAATAGTATGGAATTCTCTGGATTCAAATGCTGGCTTTGACATTTACTGTCCTTGGTTATGTCACTTAACCTCTCTGTGCCTTATCTATGAAATGGAGAATCCAGTAGTGCCTACCTCCTGGGTATGCTGTGAAGACTAATGAGTTCATTTGTATAAAATTACTTTAAAAAGTGCCTTGTACATATTAGTGGTGGTACATATTTTTAGAGGGCTATCTGTGCTTTTTCTTATTATTGCGGCACACCAGACTTCCTCAGGAGCATGGTCCTGTATTTTCAGTAGTTATCTACTGAATGCTTGTTGTCTGCTAGTGTTGTGCTCCTTGCTGGAGTTGCAAGAGAAGGCAAAATAGACAAGGTTGCAGTATTCATGGAGCTCAGAGTGGATGGGGGATGGGGAGGGGGGAGGGGAGGGAGGATCACAGGCATTAAACAAATAAACTTAAATGCAGAATGATTAGGATAAGCACCAGGAAACAATATAAGGTGCTAATAAGGTAAAAGGGGAGAAGGAAGGGCACACAACCTAGTCCAAGAAGAGAGGGGCTCCCTGTGTATGAGACAGTTAATCTGAGACCTGAGGATCACTAAGAGTTGGTCAGCAAGGTAGTGCTCCTCCCAGTGAGGGAGATAGGCAAAGATGAGCCTGAGACCAGATCATGCTGGGATTTGGAACCAGGCTGGGGATTTTGAACCTTATTCTAAAGGCAGTAGGGGGGCACCTGGGTGGCTCAGTCAGTTAAATGGCTGCCTTCAGCTCAGGTCATGATCCTGGGGTCCTGGGATTGAGCCCTGCCTTGGGCTCCCTGCTCAGCGGGGAGCCTGCTTCTCCCTCTCCCTCTGCAGCTCCCCCTGCTTGTGTGCTCTCTCTCTCTATCTCTCTCTCTCTGTCAAATAAATAAAATCTTAAAGAAAAAATAAAGACAGAAGGAAGCCATTTAATGTTTTTAAGCAGAGGAGTGACAAAACCCAAGTTGCATTTCAAATGATCACTCTGGCTTCAGTGGGGAAAATGGATTGGAGGAGATGCAGTAGGGATTGTGTTGAGACCATTAGGAGGCTGTCTGTTGCCAGATCCCTGTGAGACAGAATGTTGGCCTGGACTAAGAGCATAGCAGTGGAGAGAGAGGTGGAGAGAAGTGGATGAATCTGAGAGCTACTGTTCAAGGAGAATCCACAGCACCTGTTCTGGGGTCAGAACTCAAGCGTCCTCCTCTGCAGTTTCCTCACAAAATAGGGACTGGTATGCAAATTAAACAAATGAACAAAAAGACAGAGTGAGTTATTTTAGCTTCCCTGTGGCTTCTTGATTAATTTTTATGAGGTCCCTTGCTTCTTTCTCCCCAAATTAGGGTGATTTTAAAGTTTATGGTGCTACCTCTGACAGAATGGAAAATATGGTTTTCTGTGTACAAATGTCTTTTACAAAGATAATATGAAGAGGGTTCCAATCACAGTTATGTCCCTTATTGTATATGTCACTTAATGTAATATCCTCATACCTTATTTTCCTTATATGCAAAAAGGGCATAATAAAGTCACCTATACAAGGCTGTTATGAGAATCGAATGAGATACGTGATTTATACCAAACATAGAATCTGAAACATAATAGGTATCTAATATAACATTATGATTATTAAACTGCTATTCAATATGATAGCAGTGATGAGGTAAAATAGACTGAAGATATTGGGTGAGGGGAGAAAATGGGGCTTGTGCAGGTCCTGTTCACCGAACCTTTCTTGCCTGCTCCTTTCCAGGCACATGTAGGATTTCCCTTTTAGGTACCCTGGGGTTGGATGTGGTCATATGACCAGTTCTGGCAAATGAGCATTTAATGGCAAGACCCTCTGGCAAAGTGCAAGATGGTGGCTACTGCATCACCCTGGGCCTATGAGTGACTTTGATGAGCACACTCCCTTCCCTTTGCTGGCCCTCAGTGGACATGTACTCTGAGCAAGAAGTAACCTTCTGTTGAATTAAGCCACTAAGATCTTTGGGATGTTTGTTATTGCAACAAAACCTAGCCAAACCTGATAGATACAGGGATGAAAACTAAACTGAATTTATGTTAGGGGTGCATATTGGTAGGCAATATTCAGAAGAATTGAGAACTAGAAATATCTGCAAAAAAACTATAAGAAGGCAAGACCAAGATGGGTCAGCTGAAGCCTGCACATTTATCAGAGTTTAAAAAATTAGTGATATTTGTTCCAAGCATACTGATTAATAAAGCTCTAAAAGGTCTTTACCATCTCCCTGAATAGTGCCATCATCCCTAGATGCTCAAGTTAGATACCTAGGAGGCAGACTCCATATCCCTTTCCCTCACCACCTTCATTCATTCTCTCAGGATGTTCTTTCAGTTGTTCCTCCAAATAAATCTTTAAGCTTACCCTTCTTCTCCATCATCACTGTCATCACTACCTATCCAAGTCACTTGCTGTCTCACCTGGACCTCCTGATTGGTCTCCTTGTATCCATCTTGGCTTCTTACAGTCTAGTCTTCATCCTGCAGCTAGAATGTACTTTTTTCAACATGGATCTACTCATGTCATACACTTACAGTGCACCTTGGCTCCAGTTTAAACTGCTTCAAAGAATTCTAATTGCCTAATCAACAAAGTTCTGATTATGGCCTAACAAGGCTTGGTGTGGGCTGGCCCTGCCCACCCCCTTCTCACTAGCAGTTTCTTTCTTTCTTTTTTTTTTTTTTTTGGTTCTATGCGGGTATCATGCTCAGAGCCCTTGTGTATATGTTGCTCCCTGTCTTTGGAATGCTTTTTCCCCTTCTTTCTGGAGCTCTTCCTAACCCCTTCTCATGTTTCAGTGTTTGGCTTAAGTGTTATTTCTCCTGACTTGATACAATTAGCCCTCATCCCCCCACATTATTCTTCATCTCAGCCTTTTGTTTGTTTCAAAGCCCTCATCACAGGTTTCCTTGTTTCCTCTAACTCCATCACTAGAAGGAAAGCTCCAGAAGACATGAAATCTCATAGTCTTGTATCCCTGGCACCATGGTGCCATGCCCACCATGACTGGCACTTGGTAAACTTATTAGTTGAGGGAACAAATGAGTGAGAAATGGCAAACAGAGGCATCTAGAATATAGGGCAGGAATAAGAATACACCAGAAGAGCTATGACAGGATAAATGACCAAAGGAAGACCAGGATACCCAGGAGAAACTGAAGAAAAGAGTGGGGCCAATGTTACAGAAGGGAACAAGGAGTAGAAAGAAGATTTCTTTCCATAGAGTTAAGTTGGCCAAGGTGAGGATTTGCCAAATCCTAGGGGTATCAACAGAAGAGACAGTCCTCCTCCAGAGGAAGGAAAGGGATCCAGAGCAGGGCTTTTCAAACTGTCTATGCTGAAGGACCAGTGAAAAAAATTCTCAGTCCGTTGTGAGCTAATACCTTGTAAAACATAATGAAAATGAATTATCCAAAGAATTATTGTATCCTTGGATGTCATGGCAATGTCACTTGCTATAAAATGTCTAGACATGTATGCTGACAGCAGTCCACAGACCACACTTAGAGTAGCACATATCTGAAAGGACCTTGGCCACAATGGCCTAAAAGAGGGTGGAGGACAGGAGACCAGGGGACTGGTGCATGCCGCTTTGAAAGAATACAAGTTTGAAAGAGTGGAGACCTCAGTTCTGGGACCAGTTCTGCTCCCTAACTTGCCATTGGCCTGGAGAGCCACTTCCTGTCTGGGGCTCCAGTAAAATAGGGAGATTGGCTGATATCTCGCTAAGCTGGATATCACTGTCTCTTAAGCAACGTGGACTACGAACAGAAAGCAAGTGGCACAGATGCATAGTCGTTTGGGCTGTACTAGAAAGATCTCTAAACATGTGTAACCTGAGCTGTTACATATGAATGTTCCATTCTCTAAAACCTCCTTCTGCGTAAAGATAAGTGTGTTTCATAATGTGACACTGTGACAATTACTATACTAATCCTATCACTATTCCTATTCTATAATTGGGATGTGGCCTATTTAATTTGCATATTTCAAAATACAAATTTGCTACAGGATAATATTTTTCACAGAAAGAAAATGGTGTAAATTACTTGAAGCAGGGGAGCAGAATATGTTATTAATAACATCCCCTCCCTCCTTTTTTCAGGGGAGAGAAAAATTTTCATATATTTTACTACATTTATGCTGGTCTTTATCACCAGAAGAAACTTTCTGAGTTCAGACTTCCTGAAGAAAAGCCTCCTAGGTAAGTATAAGGGGTTTTAGTTGTTGATTTTTAATGAATGTGTAACTAGCAATTGAGAAAACTTAGAAATAAATGGAACTGTTTTTCCTAACTGGACACTGATAGTCTCTTAAGTTGAAATACCCAGGATGAGATGGCGGGAACTACTTCTCACCATTTTCATTTTCGAGAAAGTTCAGAAACTTAACTGCAGCCATTTTATTCCACCATGTGCATCCTTATTCCACTTCGCTATTAGACTGAAAGGGAAATGCCCTGGGGAAGAAGGAGCCCAGTGATGCCCTGGTATTCGGGGTGCTATTTGCCAAGTCAGTGTTCATTGTATTTGGTCATACTCCATTTAGGTATATAGCTGATGAAACTGGAAGGGTGATACACGACATAACTTCCAAGGAGTCTTACAGAAGACAATTTGAAGCAATTCAACATTGTTTCAAGATTATAGGGTTCACTGACAAGGTAAGTGATTGTCAAGAGAAAAAGAAACTCAAGTGTTCATATTCTTTTTTTTTTTTTTTTTATTATGTTATGTTAGTCAGCATACAATACATCATTAGGTTTTGATGTAGTGATCCACGATCCATTGTTTTCGTATAACACCCAGTGCTTCATGCAGTAC